CCCCCCCCCCCTCGCAGTTTTCTGCTGCACATTGGTTCAGACCGAGGCAGAGACATGAGCTAATTGTATCCTGATCTTTGCCTTGAGGGGTTTCGGAGCCCCGGAGCAAGTATTCTCTGTATTTTGTTCTGTCTACCTAAGCCAAGCTATTGCATTTCTCACTGGTGTGGGAAGAGAAGCAGATCGTGTGCCAAATCAGAGGGGGGGGGGCAAAAAAAAAAAGAAAAGAAAAAAAAGTGGTGGGGGGGATGCAGAAAAGAAATACTTTATGAGGCTCTGTGTTTCAGGTAAGCGAAGATTTATGTTGTTTGCTGGTTATTTCCGAGGCTGGACGGACTCTGGGACGCTGAGGCGCAGCAGCTTTTACGCATGTGCCAAAGCGGTTCGGAGCGGTGCAGTTCTTAAAGAATATTTAACCACTTCCTGCCTTTTTCTTACTCGACGCGTTTACGCGCCTGGCGACGGTTTTAAGGAGGATTCGGTGCCTCGGATCTTAAAAACCCAGCAGCGGATTCCTGCGACCCCATTGAGCAAATACTCCTCTTTTTTCTTTTCCTTTTTTTTTTCGTTTTTAATCCACCGCTCCTGCAGTCGCTGCGCGCCGCGTTTTTTTTTTTCGAGCTCCGAAAATATCCCTCATTCCAAGTTGCTCCCAACTTAGTTAAACATTTTTTATCATTATTATTGCTTATTTTTGCTCGTTTAGAACAATGTTTGAACTCCCGGTTAGTCGTGAAACATTTCCATTTCCCCCAACTCTGCCCCAGATCCTCTAATGAAAGACGCCATTGTGGAGTAATTTCGCCGCGGGCGTTTTGCCTCTTCTGTATGACAGGATACGAACGTCAATGCAGAATTGTGTGAATCACCCCTTAATAAAAGCCGTGGCTGTGTTAACAGAAAACATATTTATATAGAAGAAGAGGACAGAAATAAGAGCGACTTCTGCTTGTTTCTCTTTATGCTTGTGTGTGTCTGTCTGTGTGCGTTTGGCTTCTGGGCTGCGCTGTGCGCAATCAGCTCCAAGAACCAAGGATCGGACGGGCCAGTGTGTTCTTAAAAAGTAACACTTAATAAAATTGGCTTAACTGTGAGTGCTGAAAGGGCTTGTGATTTTATGAAGTGAAGATTTGTTTTGTGCCTTACACCTCAAAAAGTGTGCTTTATTCACATAAGACATAACAAAATAGAAGTTGTGGTCACCTTTGATGGAAGCCAGTGACCCCCCCCCCCCACACACACACACACACACACACACACACACACACACACACACATCCACACGCACACACACACACACACACACACATGTTTGTTTCTCGACACCGTGGGGACCTTCCATTGACTTCCATTCATGTTTTTTAGACTTTATATCCTAACCCTGACCATATACTCTAAAATTAACCTCACAGAAACTTACCTGACCCTAAAACTAACCTAAACCTTGGTCCTAAACCTAACCCCACACCTGTAACATGCATTTGGACCCCTGGGGACCTGACAATGGTCCCCATGATTCACTTTTTGTAAAAAATACCCCATGTTGTAGGAAAAGCCCGTACACACACACACACACACACACACACACACATATGTATATACTATACATATACATTCACGAAACGCCTGCAGCAACACATTGTTATTATATCCCGTGTTGCCCTGGTGTGCCACTCCCGCGCCCTGGGACACTCTGGTCTGTGAATATGTACCACTGTTTCCAACAGCCTGCAGCAAACTCAGCTCTGATCGCACTTCCTGATCTGCCATGTCATGCTGATGCACGGCTGTGAAAGAGCCACGAAGAAATGTTCCTGGGAAATAAAAAAGGGCACGGCGAAAACCAAACCCACAAATCGTTTTTGCGCCATTCTGTTTACCGAGGGTCACCTCCCCGCCTCCCTGTGCTTTAGATCGGAAACTTTGTCTCAGTTGGGTTGAAGTAGCCTCTAATTTAGGTTTCTGTGTTGGTGCTATTACTTTGTAGTTCACTTGCAGTTCATTTCCAAAATCGAAAGTGACCAGCCTGTAACATCTCCTCAGGCCATACTGTTTTAGAAGACTTTGATACCTGTTATCCTGTTGCCTTTACAGCAGACGTCGACTCAAAGTTGAGCTCAAGTGTGTGCAGCTCACTGCGTGTGGACATCTGAAGCAAATAGCCACCGGCAAACAGGCTATCCAGCCTATCCAGATTATGTAAATACTGGTCTGTTTGCCTCAAACTGAATGTTAATGCTCTGTTCTGAAATGCTAATTGTGTGCCGTGCGTTGCATCGTGGGACAAATGCACCTGGAAAGTTGGGTTGTTGCTTCTGATGATCCCAAAGGGCCGTAACGATGCAGGAGCAGGAAGTTGTCGTGAAAGGTTATGAGGACCGTCAGTGTGAACTGCTCCAACGATTCACTGAAGTTAAAAGAACGATTGAATGATGTCATACAGGTGTGATGGTAGCTTTGATGTGCTTTTCTGAATGACAACAGGTAGGAAAGGTGGCTGACAAGTGAGCCAGCCGAGACACGGATATTTGTGAGAACTTTCAAGCTGTTTTTGGGGGACTAAAGGTCAAGAACCTGACCACGCAGCACGGTTTTACACCGACTCTGCGTGATTTGTGTGATATAAGAACCCGTTCCCCCATCATCCCCCACCCGCCACCCACCCAGGCGCCACTTTCTTGTTTTCACTCCCTCTCCTTTCTCCCCTGCAATTTTCCATAATGCCTCACAGATTTTACACTCAATCCACCTTTGCAATGACAAGGCTTTGAGGAAATCCAATTCCACCGAGCTGTTTTCAGAACTTACTCTCCACAGGCACACACACACTCACTTTCCCCTCTCTCTCACACTCACACACACACACACACACACACACCACCATCTCCACAAATTAGTCAGGGAACAAATTACCTGCATTCTGAGTGTGATCCCACGCACTTTGCAGGCTGCCTTACACAGGTCCCCTTTTGAAGAGCAGCCATGTGATTTCTCTCTCTTTGTGCCCCGCAGGCCCCTTTGCCTTCTGCGAGGGATTCTGGAGTTGAATTTTAAAAACTATGTATGGCTGCTGCCTGCGCTTATCAGCGCGTGCACAAGTGGCATGCAAATCAAACGAGGATCACACACCCGCATTGGAGGCCTGCACTCAAAGGCAAGCTTAATTGCTAATTGGGTATCTAGGTGTGAAACCCACACTGCCAATGAGAGGGARGCATGTGGATGTTTTAAGGCCAGTGGTTGAACTAATTAATTTTAATCTGAATATTATTAAAAATTGCCGATTCCCTGCATTTTTTCTGTGGAATTTAAAAAAWATATATAAAATATCAGCCCAGTAGAGTGCTGTGGAAGTAGTTTTAACTGCATTTGGATGTGTCGTGGCTCGGTTTTGTGCCCCGTGATATCATTGGTGAGGAGCAACGCTGACGTGGTGATTGGACGGCACTGTTTTCATACAGCTTTGGCCCCTAAAGGTACTTAGTGCAAAAACATAAAGTCTGGGCCAAAAACATAGCGCCATAAATTTAATCTGCAAATTTGCTTTTCTCTATAATTATTGTGGCTATAAATGAACAGTTTGTAAGAAAAATGTGTGACTGGATCCCAAATAGGATGTGTTTGTAAACAAACAACAGCTGAAGTGACTGAAGGTMCTTTAACAGACGAGTAGAAGTTTTGTAAAAGTTGCGCTCCAGTATTTGATCCCAGATATTTATCCTCTTTGTCTTGCTCAGTCGTTCTTTTTCGTTCTTGCGTTCAGCAGATTCCCTCTTTTGTTTTAAGCATCTCTGAGATTCCACCGTGTTCGTTTACAGACCACACTCACGTCGGTTGATCACGTGACCTGTGGTTTTCAGTGGATCCAGTGGGAGTGCTTTGTTTACATTGAGTACAGACCCACACTTTTGAAGTGCAGTCAAGGTAGCATGGAAAACTACTGGTAAAAAATATTTTTCAAACTGCACCATTAGATGAAGGATAACTTTTATTATGAGAGATTTCATACTTTGAAATGAATGATAAAGAAAAAAATCAAGAAGCTGCAAAATACCTTTCCTGTTGTTTTTGATAGGTGCAAAATAAATCACTTTTTCACATGCAGATGAAACATTTAGACAAATAAAATGTCAATTACTGATTTCTGAGACCAAAAGAGTGTGTTTCAGGCTGAAGGGCACTGTGTCCAGGGTTGGGAGGTGGGGTGTGGGCTTGTTTGTTGGCCAAAAAAAATTGCTTTTGTCACCTTTTTGAGTGTTGGGTGTTCTAAAAGAGGCTAAAGCAAACAGCTGCTGCACCATGAGGGGGGAGGAGGAGGAGGTGACCGCTGCTCCTCTGATAGAAGCAGGAGGAGGGGGGCAAAGGCCATGCAGACAAGAGTCCAGATAGACCAGTGTGGGACCTGACTGGATCACATCATGTAGGCGGCAGGCAAGGATTTATTTTTTTTAAATATGGTTTTCTTTTTTATTTAATTTTCTGCTTTATTCTGAAAATGCGACGCACATACCTGCCACGGAAACAGCGACAGCCCAAAAGAGCCGCAGGCGCTCCGATGCTAATGTTGTCGGGGGCTTTGACTTCTCCCAGCCACTGCGAAGCTGCCGCTCCGTGTGACAGCCACGCCGCCGCCGCTCCTCTCCTCCTCCCGCCGGCTCTCTCCCCTCGCTTTTCACGCCTTTTATTACAATCATCCCCCCGTTACGTTTAGCAGAAGTGTCGTTAAGAAAGAGAGAGAGAGAGAGAGAGAGAGAGAGAGAGAAAGGGGTGGAAAAGAGAGAAAAAAAAAGAAGAAAAGAAGCCCGACCTATCTCTGAACCTTAATGGACGACGCGGATATCATGGACCTGACGCACCAGAAAGCGAAAAAGCGACCGCGTCCAATCAGTTCCGTGGACGAGTCCGTGCACGCTCCGCTCAAGCGGCTCCCGATGCGGGCGGCGGAGTGCAGGGAGCCCGCCCTGATGTTCGCTGTCAGGGGGGAGCCCGTTCCCGCAGCATCCCTCAAACAGAATGACCACTCGCTGACGTCCTCTCCGACCACAGTAATGCCAGCACAGGTAACAGACACGAYATGGATGTATGCGCAACGTGCGTTTAGTTTTACTGGAATTTACGCGTTTTCTTCCCTTCCAGCGCGCACATCTTTTACACTATCCTGCAGTCCTCTCTCTCCTGCTTTTGTGCCTTAGTTTCCTTAATACACATCTTTATTTTACTCAAGAGAGTAAAACTTTTTTATCCTGTGTGGAAAAGTGTTTCTCTCTCTCTCTCGTTCCTCGGAGCTCATAGAAGAAATAGTCTGCTAAATGGTGTTTGTAGGCTAATATAATAGTTTTTTTTCTCCCCCAAAATCCTATTATGGTATTCAAATCAGAAGCCATTATTATTGCTCATTTCCAAGAGAGATTGATGCTCCAAATTAATTTGGTTTTGGAGATTATGGCCCACAGGAAGAGAAGCTTGTAGACTGTGGCAACATTCAGGTCAAGGTCAGGCTGCTTGATCCTGCTGTGTTCAATAAAAGAAAGAAAAAAAATCCCACTCTGTGGCTTTGGAGTAAAGAAAGGGTTGTGTTTAATTAGTTTCACTTTTACTGTCTTCATTCATAGTTTTACTTTTGAAGTACAGTGAGTTTGACTTTTTTTTTTGTTTTAATTTTCATCTTTCCTCGACTCATTGTCTACTTTTGTGCTCTCGCAGGATAATCGTTCCAGCATGTCCAGGCCCATGATCACACGGTCACCAGTGTCTCCCTTGAGCAACCAGGGCATCCCTACACCTGCACAGCTCACCAAGTCCAACGCCCCTGTGCACATCGACGTGGGCGGGCACATGTACACCAGCAGCCTGGCCACCCTGACCAAATACCCAGAATCACGGTGAGTCTCAGTGAAAATTKTCTTTTTTTTTTTAACAAGGCGCGGAGATTTCCCAGAGTTTCGTCCGTTCAAGACACGTGTTTGGCATCGTTCCCTACGAGTTTAATGTCAGCATCTTTAATGGTTAATGTCATTATGTGACAGTCAAATGTCACAACTCTTCAAGTCACACATGGATCTCATGAACGCACTTGGAATCCATTCTGATTTATAAAATATGTGGTACTAGTTGCTTTTTCTTTCTTTTCATCCAAGGTGCGTGAAAACACATCTTGTTGAGTTTCTTTGAGAGGGGGGGTAAGCCATTTGTAGGAGGAGAAAGTGCAGACTGCAGAGCTCAGACAAAAGCAACTTGGTTATTCTGACAGATGTCACAGCAGCAGCAAAGAGCCAAAGGGCACTGAGCCATCTGGGGGCCGGAAGGCCACGCTGTCGCTCCGAGAATAGGCCCGAGGGTGACTGGCACCTGGCCTCAGGCAAACCAAGCACCAGCTGGTCCTGACCTCTCCAGACCACTTCTGAATCTCATCACTTTTCTTCTCAGAAACCCCCCTTATCTACAAAACAACCAATTATTAGGCTTTAGATAAAAGCTGTGAACTTGTGTTTTCAAACGGTGAKACATACTTGTATCGATAATCATGACATGTTATTCCCCATATGCTTCCTCCCTGCTCTCCCTTCTTTGCCTCACCTCACCCTCCTCCCTCCCTCCCTCTCTGTGTAGAATTGGTCGCCTCTTTGATGGCACAGAGCCTATAGTCCTGGACAGCCTGAAGCAGCACTACTTCATTGAYAGGGATGGACACATGTTCCGCTACATTCTCAACTTCCTCAGGACGTCCAAGCTTCTCATTCCAGAAGACTTCAAAGTGAGTGGGTGTCCATCGTGAAACCGTATAAAGTGCCATCAGCCAGTCAGCAGTCCTGCAACTTAGGGCAAACAATAACTGCTAAGGCTATAAAACAGTTTTGGTCACCAGTCTGACTTGATGTTCTGAAAACAACTTCCAATTTGGACGCAAAATATCAAGTTTGCCCCCCAAAAGGCTAAATTGCAATGCCTTCTCACATTACCAGATGCAGTTTGATTGTTTAACTTTTTTCAGATATTAGCTTTTTTCAAAGGTAAATGAGTTCTTTTAGGCTTGTGACCCCATGATAAGCTACATATTGGTTTATGTTCAAGTGTCCATCGTTGGTGACTCTAACGGCATGTGACACATTAGCATTCCATCTTTTCACTCATATGTGTCATTTAGTCAGTAATTACTAAACTTGCCCTGGGAGAAAACAAATAAGCACATTATCTGATGGACTGTCCACAGTGCAAGTCAATCAGTGGAAAGTCTCCCAGTTAAAATAAGCAAAGGCTCAAGTTCAGGCAAAGGCCATTTTCACATTGGGAGGATTTAGGGAGAAGCATGGGAAAAATGGAGTGCTGTTCAGCCTAAACTCTACCATCCAGATGTAAAACTATGTGTTTCTCTACGCAATGCAACCATGTGTGACATGTCTCTTGATAATTGTTGGGTTTTTTTGCAGAATAGTTTCTTGTATAACATTTAKTGCTTACTTGTTCTTTCCAAACTTCTGTTTTTGACGTTTTACTTTCGCTTTACTGGAAACAAATCTTGATTTTAAAACAATTTGCTGAATCTGTTGCTCCGTATTTTTGCTCGATTATTTAAGTTGTAAAAGCATTCAAGTGCACTTTTCTTTGACGTGAACTCTGACCTGTTTTCCTCAGGACTACAGTCTGCTGTATGAGGAGGCTCGATACTTTCAGCTGCAGCCCATGCTGGTTGAGCTGGAGCGCTGGCGCCAGGACCAGGAGCTGGGCCGGGTCTCCCGCCCCTGCGAGTGCCTAGTCGTGCGCGTCGCACCYGACCTGGGCGAGAGGATCACGCTCAGCGGCGACAAGGCCCTGATCGAGGATGTCTTTCCCGAAATCGGCGATGTCATGTGCAACTCCGTCAACGCCGGATGGAACCATGACTCCACACACGTCATCCGCTTCCCGCTGAACGGCTACTGTCACCTCAACTCTGTCCAGGTAATGAGCTGCTTACTGTATGTGAACTGTGTTCAGTTTCTTTAATTATGAACATTACTGATTTATCAACTGTTTTTATTTAGAATGTGTCTAAAGGACTGAGGTGATCTGTTTTTTAGCACCTTTTTATGTAACATATGGCTCTGGCTTCATGTCTGATTGCAGACTTTCATCTTTTTTAAGCAGACCAGTTCATAAGACAAACCTTGCAGAAAGAAATAGGTTCTTAGATGAAGTAATCAAAACATTGATTAAGCAAGTTATTAATGCATGTTTGCCACAATATTTATTTCTCTGTGATCTGACTAAAATAGCAATCTTAACTTTGGCTCCTCAGCTGGCAGGCAGTCAGGTTCAGTACCTTCTTTCTTACTCATCTATTGCAGCACAAGCTTTATTAAACTTTTGGTCTGAAACAGACAATTGGCATGAATGTCTAAATAAAATAAAGAAAAAAACTGACAKGAAATAGTATGAAGCCATTTAGAATGAGACAAAACACTCAGATAGCTTTAAAAGTATGTCTTTATTAAATGTAGGATTAATTCATCTCTTTTGTTTGGGACTTCACGTGTGATTTGAGCAACTTTTGGTAGAATCTACATGTAAWACTGGCATATTATAAGCATATGTATTAGTCAGAAAAATGCTGCTTTCTCATAAATGTCTAAAAAGAAAAATTAGTCAAGTTGAGCCCAGTAGACGTTGAATAGTTATTCAAAAAAAGGTGTAAATAATCCCAAAATTTTTTGAACATCTCCAAACATGCTATGTAAATAAAAAAAATACTTTTAACCATAGCAACCCTTTTATTTAAAAGATGTGTAAAAGATGTGCATGCTCACAGTTCACACAACCTTTGCAGAAACTTATTTGGAAGATTATCAAATTTTCTTCACTCAGACTCACAAAAACAAATCGAACAGCCTGTATTGGTTCTTAAAAAAATCATTTGATCAGTGCTGAATGATTAAAAAAATCAATTTTACTGTCTTTTGACTAGTTAATGTGTGTTTATAACATAAAAATCAACTTTTAGGACTTCTTCACCTTCATCAATTATTGGAAGAAATAAAGTTTTAATTTATACTTTATGTATTGATAAATATGTGAAAGTTTCAAGGAACATAATGTTTTTACAAGCAAAACTAGAAAGTTAGCGTCTGTTTACCATGGATGACTAGATACAGTATTTGTAAAAAACTAAGTTTTTTGCTAAAAAGTGTCATCATTCACTTGGCACGTACTTTATAACCTGTTTGTGATAAAGCTAAACCAAAACATGCATATTCCATCGAGATATTCCCTCATTCTTAGACTCCGCCGTTATAATCAGCCTGTGTTTGGCAATAATTCATRTTTTGTGATTACATATTGATATTCCACTGACTCATTAATGGTAATATCCTCAAATATGCATCAATAACTCATGAAGAGGAGGCAAATTAGAGGAGATTTCACAAAGATTTGGATTGCGTCTCCATCCGAGGAAGTCAAATCTTCCAAAAACACACAAACAAAACCCGTCTCTGAAGTGTGCAAGTGGTGGGGAGCAGGCAAGAGAGTGAGCATGCTCCCTGGCAGGTTGTCCCCAGGCAGGGCCCATAATCCTGTTTGGTTATTAAAGCTTGCCGGCGGTGAATGCTGTATCTGCGGCTAATGGAGGCAGAGACGGGAGGGGAGGGTGGGAGAAGGAAGGGGAGCAGAGAGAGCTGCCAGCAGTAGGGGGACCTTTGTAGTTTTGGCGGAGGCTTGGGCCTGGGGGAAGAACCAGGGAGGGGGGGAGGTTTTGCTGAGCAGCCCGTACTGAGCCAAGTGGCAGAGAGAAAGCATCACTGCTCCCCGGGGGCCTCTTCGATGGAATGTGATCCTACAGCCCCCCTGGACACGTCTGTAGATGTCTGCAAGGCTGCAAGATCAGAAACAGCTACACACACTCAGAGACAAACACACATATACATACACACAGACAAAAAAAAAACAATGAAAGGGAGGCATGAGGCAATATGAGAAGCTCTTTGTTTTGTGAAAGTCTTGTGAAAGTCTCATCCAAATTCCCATCACAAGCCGTATGTTGCCGCAGCTCAGACCCACAGCTATGTTCAGTTCTACAGTTAGCACTAAGGCAGGAGCAGATTGTTGCAGTTTTGTTTTCCAACCTCACTGTAGAAAAACAAAAGGTTAGAGGTTACGTTCAACTTTATACTTTATAATGAGATAAAAAAAGAAGGAGCTGTTAGGAGAAAAAAGTGACTGTATATACAAGAGAAATAGTTTTTTCTATAAAAGTATAAAGTGAATGCTGAGTGCTGAATGACTCTCCTGAAATGTATTGAAGAAACTGAAATGGCAAGAAAACACTAGCAAAAGCTAAAAGTAGCAAAACCCCATGTAAACGKTACAAAGTATTTTGTGAAAGCTTAAAATACCAAAAGTCTAGCTAGAAGCTGAAAAAAGCAAAGGCTAGCTATTGGATGAAAGTAAAATAACTAACTTAAAGCAGCAAAAAGGTAGCCATGAGTRGAAAAATGTKAGTTAAAAGGTAAAGTGGCAAAAGCATAGGTAGCTAAATGCTAAACGTAATAAATGACTAGCTGGAAGCTAAAAGTTGCAAAAGGCTACTTTTGGCCTTGGTTACAAAAATGATTAAAGGCAATTAAACATTAAAATAAGAAAATGTTAGCTAAAATCTAAAAGTACCATTGTACAAGGTGAAAGATAAAAATATCAGAAGGATAGCTAATAGGTGAAAGAAGCAAAAGCTAACTGTTAGCTAAAAATAAAACACACTAGCTAAAAGCAGCAAGAGGTTAGATACAAGTAGCAAAAGACTAGGTGAATGCTACAAGTTGGAAAAGCTGGAAGCTAAAAGTTGCAAAATGTTACTTTTTGCCGTAGTTACAAACGTAATTAAAGGCTAAATTAACACAAAAATTATCAAAAAAAATTACTATCTAAATGGAGCAAAAGACCAACTTTTCTGAGCTGATTTCAAACAGAACCGTGTTTTTGAGGGAGCTGAGGAGATCTGCATGTATTTTTGTTAAGAAAATATTTGTAACRTTKGTAGCTAAACATTTTTATACRTGAATAGCTAAAATAGCACAAAGTTTACCGAAGTGGTTAATTTGCAAAAAGAAAGTACAAGAAAACAGAGTCCACAAAAGAAAAAAGAAAAACAATATTGTGAATGAATGCTGAATCAACATTCATCTTCGAAATCTTGCACCTTCCATCTTTTCCTCAGGTTCTAGAGCGTCTCCAACAGCGAGGWTTCGAGATCGCTGGCTCCTGTGGGGGAGGCGTGGACTCATCCCAGTTCAGCGAGTACGTCCTGCGGCGGGAACTGAGGAGGACGAGTCAGCGAGGGCTCAATTCAAACAGGATAAAGCAGGAGCAGCTGGACTAGAAGCCTCCGAAACAGTAGGAGGTGCTAGACTTTTCTGTAGCAGTCGAAGGCTCGAAGCTGCAGAGCTCTGTAGACTCCTTTTTTTTCTTCATTTCCTTGTTGATGTTTCCGTTTTCTTAAACTCAAGAACCACCTAGAGAATAAAAATGAAGTGCAGCAGGAGATTTTTTTTTTTTTTGCCATAAGAAGATACAAGACATTTGATAACTTTGAGATTGCAAAGACATTTGTGATTGTCTCATCCCCATAAATCAAGTAAAACAAATATTTATATATGCTGGATCCCCGAACAAAGTTTGTTTTAAAACTTGGAGCCTACATTAGGTTAAAAATGATTTCTAATTTACCAGTATAAATTAAAAAGTTGTTTATTGCTGATTTAGTGTTGCACAGTATGTCATCAGTGATTTTGTTGTTTCACTATCTCATTGGCTTTTCCTTCCTTTAAAGAAAAAAGGTAATAATTGTGTTTCTTAAAGTTCAGAATGTCTTAGTTATATAAACTTAGGTACAACATAAGCATTTTTTTTACATTCAATATGATGTTTATTATTATAAAATCAATGAAGTGGATTTTTGAGGTCATTTTAGCAGTTCATGTGATAAAATGGAAATGAATTTAGAATCATCAAAAAAAAAAACGTAAAATATTTTTTGTTACACCATTTGCCTCATTGAGCTACATACTTGGGACTTATTTCATCGGACCACAAATCCCCTCTGAGTCGTGACATGTAATTTTTTCATTGTACTGTATATGTCTTTGTGTTTTTTACATTGAATCTTTTCAAAGCAGACGTCTTTGCTTCAAACATGACTGAACAGATTAAAAGCTTATTGTACTTATCCAAACCGAGATGACTTGTATTTGTAGCAAATGTTGATATGAAGTTGGATATAAAGTATTTCTAAGATTACTGAAATGACTATGTTCCTTAGATTTAAAAGGAATGTAGCAACAACAACAACAAAAAAAAAAAGAAATAAATATCAGCTAAAGTTGTAATGTTGTCTGGTTGCTGTTTTTAGAGTGGCATTCAAGGCAAAGAAGATCCTTTTTTTTCTTTTTTTWATTAAATCACTTCAGTAGAAAAAAGAACATAACCTTAGTTTCTTAATTTCTTCATCATCAGTGATTTTTTAAGTAAAGAGAAAATAGAGAAAGACGTAAAAACAAAGAGAGAAGTAATTAGAAAGATTGAAATAGAGATTAGAAATATATTAAATATACACCAAGAAAACACAGGACCACACACAACATCTGTCCGCTCACCTGAAAAATAAATGGATAAATACATGGAGGGCATATATAAATATATACACATACCCATACATATATMAAGATATACATACATACATGCCTACATTCATACATTGTAAATATATACACACAGACATATACACACACTCAGTGACCAGTCAGAACCCCCCGGAYCAGAGCACCTGTTTGTGAGCAGTTGTGAACATGCGTGTATATACAAGGCAAAGTAGATCCTTAAAATTTACTTATATGTCTAAATGTTCAAAGTGGCWATTTTATTTTTCATTTTCTTTAACCAGAGAGGTAAAGCAAACTAACAAGACCATATTGTACCTTGGAGGATTTCTGCTGGTGCATCAACATGGGCCACTCTTTACTTAGTTATGTTGARTWGAGCCGACTTCTCCTCGTGAGCCCTGTCAGTTGTGTTTCCACATATTCCTGCAGGGCCAAAATCCAAAGTGAAATCCCACATGGAGGCCTGTCGTCTTGTCTTCGTCCCTTTTGGCAGATTCTCCACTTTCTTTGACTATCTGCAGTTTATGCTGTATTTCTTCCTTTCAGGCCTCTTTGCCCCAGATTTCCTTTCGGAGCTGCCTGCTAAGAGCCAGAGGTGCATCTGTGAGCGCTACTCAACCACACTTCATAATCAATATTAAAATTAACTTTATTCGACAAGTAAAAAGCAATACAGTTATCATTTTGCTTTTGCTTTTTTAATTAGCATAAATTAATCAGAAGTATTTCAACCAAATTCAAACGACTTTAAAGGTGCTCATTACGATATGTGGACTATTTTGACCACATTTTCAAAAGTAAAGGCTTAATAAACATTAAAATTAACAAACTGTTAGCTAAAATAAAAAATATATATCAAAAGAAAACACAGTGACAATGTCAATGATGTTTTATTTTATATGTTGACACATATTTATTTTCAGGTTTCTTCAGTAAGTGAAAAGATAAGTTGAACTATAATCTATTTCAGCAAAACCTGCATTTGTTTAAACGCTGAGCTCTGTTTTTCTGGTGCTCCATTGCCCTCCTTGAGCCCCGATATTTATTCTTGACAGCTGTCTTACTTGCTCTCTCTTTCCGTTCTTATTTAGCAGCAGATTCACTTTTATCTTTTCACCCACTGCAAAAAAATGTCCACCTAACCAAGTTTTAAAATCTTATATCCAGCCAAAAAGTCTTTTTGATCTTGTTTTGAGACTCATTTACTAAACAAGAACTGATTTTGTAAGAATAATAATCTTGTTTTCAGAATGTGTAAGATTATTTGTCTTTTTAGTCTGAAAATTTGACTCAAATTAARTTAAAATTTCTGCCAATGGAGTGAGAAAATTGTACTTGGTAAGACTTCTTGAAATACTTGATTTGACTCATTTTTTTTTTATTTCAAGAATCTTACCAAGTACAATTTCCTTACTCCATTGGCAGATATTTTGACT